AATAATCTCATTTTTATAGTTAATATTTGTTTATTTGTACAAAATTTCTTCAAATTTCATGCCTTATTACAGTGGGATATATGATAGTAAAAGCTGTTACATGTCTTTGTGTTGAAATCTGTGTCTGATTTTATAGTGTTCCTATGTTTGTCTCCTAAAGATTATTTCTCTTATTAATACTCAAATCTCTATCTTGCAGATGGCTTAGTATATATGTAAGAATTTCTGGCTAACTGTGTTTTAAGATTGGATGCTTTAGTTCAGTTAAGCTTCTTAGGGTGGCTACTTTGTACTTTATTTAAAGCATGTTTTGGAAAGTTAATTTCACAAATATATTCAAGTTCTTAAAGATAGAGGTTGAGTATGTTTCACTGGTAAATAATTTAGAAAAGTGACACAAGTAAATTGGCATTGGCAAAGATACAGTCAAGGTCCTGGAACCAATAGAAACTTTGGATTTCCCAAGGCAGGTGTCTTTTTGTTTTAAATGTGTGGTGGGCCAGTGAGTCTGTCTTTTAATTGATATAGTACCTAATACTTTCTTTTGTTATAACAGTAAAGAACAATCATTAGTTTGAGGCCAAGAGATTAGTTTTCCTTGAAGACTGTGTCCTAGAAACATATTATTTCTGGCTCAAGGTTGTTTCTTTGCTGAAGTCGGTGCAATCTTTCAGCATTTGGATGTTTATTTTCTTTGTAAATTTTAACATATACTTTATTATTGCAATTATCTATAATGTAGCTGTTCCATTTTGTCATTATAGCTTTTCTTAAGCACTTTAGATATTTGCACACGAATTAGATTGCGTTCCCTATTGCGCCCCCTCCTTCTATGTTTTGTAGCATAATTAGGGAAAGAACAGGAGAGATGAAGATATATGTAAGGTTTTTCTTTTTGTTTCATAATAGAAATGAATTAGAAGGTGAGATGTGAATGGTTGTTTCTGTTTTAAGTTCAGGAATTGCTTCTGTGGATAAGGGTAACTTATTTTGAATGAAAATGAAAAGATAAAGGATATTTGGTAAAAGATCTTCATAGGAAAAGGTCTCATTTCCTAATTTTAGGCATCAAGAAAGTCTTTCTTAGCTCTGACTATTCCCTGAAGGGCATCTTCTAGAATATATGTCACAAAAATGGTACCTGCTTTGTTGTAGGTATTTAACAAATGTGTTGCTTGCATAAAGTGATCAGAGAGGCAAGAGTGAGATTTGATACTTAGCAGTGGTTATTTTGGCAAAAACGAGATTTCTATGTTACTGATATATGTCATTTCCAGAGTTTGTGTGGATAGTACATAAGGTGCATAACAATGTTTATATTTGTAAAAAAAACACACATATATATATATATATGGTAAGGCATATAGACTTAATTTCTCTTCTGGCCAAGAAAGAAACTAGTAAAGTATCTTGCTGGGTCTGTTGATAGTTTCTTTGTATCTTTAGCACTCATTGAGTGATATTAGCCAAGTTTCTTTTCTCCAGTGATTTTCACTGTCCCTGAAATCAGCTCGTATGATTCTTCTATCAGAATCAAAGCTGTTTTTTTTTACTGTATGGTCCTACATATCTCTCTTGGATTGTATCACAAGGAAGAAAAATCTTCCCAGTCGTCCCTGCCTAAATTCCCACAGAATATTTTAGGCATGTCAGCTGTTTGGGCTCTGAGCAAGGATTTGATCCAGTTGGCCCCCTAGGCTGAATTAAAAGTGTGTTTGAAAAGCTTAAACATCAGTGGTAACATTGTTTCCAGAGTTAGAAATAATACTTTGAGTCTTTTACTCCTGTTGTGACTTCAAAAGGATTTATGTAACTGGGGAAAAATGATAACAAAAAGTAGATGCTCTTTATCAGTAAAAGCAGGGTGAAGTTTGGTAAAGTGCTGGAAGGGTCGTGGTGATATATTTGGGGTTGTGGTATGTTTTTAAAAAGGTTTGGTTGGGTGCCATTTATTCTCCAATTCCTATTGGCCACTCCAGGGATTTTCAGCTGGTGTGCCGCAAGCATTTTTAAAACATGCAATACCTCACTGTTTGGTCAGGGACACTGACCTCTTTTCCCTTAGATTATAAAATAAAATTTAAAAAATGACAAGAGCCAACACAGCAATAGCTGTCTAGTGTGAGTGAATCAAAATCAAACCTTTTTTTTTTTTTTTTTTTTGTCAGATCGGCAAAAAGTACATATTTTTGGTGTGCCACAGAATTTTAGTGATAAGTATGAGGGTTGAAAATCACTGTGCTACTCTTCTCTTCCCCTTTCCTCCACTATTAACCCAAGACAAAGTAAATACTAGTTCTAGACTAGGTTTTTTTAAGGGAAAGTATAAATGTTTTATAGAACATCTCTCTCAGGAACTAAGAGTTTTATAGAGCTCATCGAGTGTGCCTAGCACAGTACACTAAGAGATAAGTAATAATCTTTATATTTTTCAGAAAAGTTCTGAATTCAAGGGCCAACTAACTGATTTTAAGTTCTTGATTAAAGTATTTTAAAGCTAATGTTTGATTATTTTTCTTTACTTAAAAATTGATACATACATTCTGAGATTAAAGGAAATATTTTTTATTAAAATATAAAACAATATATGTGTTGGTGAAGAGTTAAAAAAATGTCAATGCCTAGATCAGTGGTTTCCAAACTCTTTGAATATTTCATCACTTAAAATATGTAACATTCATTCCTATATGTACTTATTTATATATTATATACTGCCCTTATTTATATATAGTAGAAAACATATGTTAGATATTTTTAAATGATGAAATAAATATAAATAAAAGATCTAATATTTTCTTTTTGCACTCCAGTAGAGTTTTCTGCATCCCCTGGTGCAGTTACTCCTCTTTGGAGACTACTGACCTAGATCATTAATGGGGGAATGAAGCCCAGGCATCTTTATTTGTAACAAGTTTCCTAGGTGATTTAAGCATTTGCATTTCTCACAGTTACTTATGAGATAAAGGTGAAGAAAAGGTTTGGTAATAAGACCATAAATCATTCAGTAATTTTGGCCACGAAACTGGGGTTCAGATGGAAAGGGTGTATTTATTTTCAGAAATGATTAAAACTTACTGCAAAATACCTCATAGTGGTGATCTACCATACTATTATATTTTTAATTTTCTCTGTCTTCATAGCGATCTTCCTGGAAATTTGAATCTGATTATTTCATTTTCAAAATCTGATCATTTGTTCTTGCCTGCAGGGTAAAGTCCATGCTCCCACAGCATGCAAAATCTTCATGATTTGACCCATTAGCCTTTTTTGCTTCATAGCTTTTATTTATTTTATTTTATTATTTTATTTTATTTTTGTAGAGAAATAGGAAGGGGGAAAGAGACACACACACACATCAATGTGAGAGAAACATCAATCGACTGCCTCCTGCATGCCCCCTACTGGGGATACCGGGGATCGAGCCTGCAATTTAGGCATGTGCCCTGACCTGGAATTGAACTGGGCCTCTCAGTTCATGGGATGACACTCAATCCACTGAGCCATACTGGCTGGGCTTCATAGCTTTTACTGCCCCTTCCCTCCTCCTCTATTCCTCTAGAAAACCTCATTTTGCTAAAATAAAACAAATAGAAAAACAAAACCAAAGAAAACGCCTCAGCTCCAGCCACGATAAATGTTTTATAGTTCACTCTAAGCCTTGTCATTGTTTGGTTATTCTACCTGGATTGCCTTTCTTGCTTTGTTCTACTGGAAAACTTTCTTATTGTTTAAGATTCAGCTCACAGTGCTCGCTTCGGCAGCACGTATACTAAAATTGGAACGATGCAGAAAAGATTAGCATGGCCCCTGCGCAAGGATGACATGCAAATTCGTGAAGTGTTCCATATTTTTGCAGCCAATCGATGTGTCTCTTTCACGTCGATGTTTCTCTCTCTCTCCCTCCCACTCTATCTGTACCAAAAAAAAAATGGAAAAATGTCCTCGGGTGAGGATAAAAAATAAAAAATAAATAAAATAAAAAGCCCTGGCCGGTTTGGCTCAGCGGTTAAAGTGTTGGCCTGTGGTCCTGAGAGACCCGGGTTTGGTTCCCGCTAAGGGCACGTACCTCGGTTGCAGTTTGTCCCCGGCCCTGGTCGGTTGTGTGGGTGGCAGCCACTCGATGTGTTCCTTTCACATCGATGTTTCTCTCTCTCTCTCTCTCTCTCTCTCTCTCTCTCTCTCTCTCTGTTCCTCTCTCTCCCTCCCACTCTACCTGAACAAAAAATGGAAAAATGTCCTCCGGTGAGGATAAAAAAAAAAAAAAAGATTCAGCTCACACATTTCTTCTGGTCTCTAAATAAGTGGTGCTCTGTTCTTCATGATGTTTTGTAGCACTTACTGACTTGTTATAATTATTTGTTTATAAGTCCTGCTCCTGTTAGTCTGAATTTCTCAAGGGTAGAAATTCTAAGTTAAAACAAGAAGTTCAGTGAGGGCAAGTACTCTTTTATTCACTGCCATATCATATTTCCTAGCATTTAGTAGGCACGCAATAAGTATTTGTTGAATGAATCTATATTTATGTCTTTATTATCTGGCATTTGATAGGCTTAAATGAACCTTATTAAATAAATTAAAAATAAATGAAGGATAAAATCTCAGAAATAAACTTATTTTATAGGGTTATATTTTGAAAAAGTGAATTCTCAGATTTTTACTACATGGCGTTATTAATATCAAAACACATAAGAAAATCCACATATTTTCATATACTCTCTGATTTTACTTAAGGTATAAGAAGGACTTGAATAATTGTATTATGACTTTTTTTTTTTGTACGTGCCCCTAGCCGCTAGGGTCTAGGGGAAACCGAACCTGGGACTCTCTGGTCCTCAGGCCAAGGCTCCAACCACTGAGCCAAACTGGCCAAGGCTATTATGACTTTTCAAATTGGTACTTAAATGAGAAGATGTAGAAAGCCAAATAATTCTGTTTAACTTAATAATTGTTTTGTTGTTTCATTGTTAATTGAGATATCATTTTTTCACTCCTTTCTTTAGGGTGTTTGTGAACCGAAGTTTAGCCATGGAGAAAATAAAGTGTTTTGGTTTTGATATGGATTATACACTTGCTGGTGAGTAGCACTTTTTATTGCTTAAGATCGCTTTGGATATATTATAGTGGGTCTACAGTATGCTATTCAGTAGACACTTCTTGATTTAATCATATATTTAGCTGCCAGGGAGTCTTATTATAAGCTGCTTCTGTTGAGATTTGTGAATATTGAAATGATCCGATATCCTTGACATTTAGTTTGTACAGATAGGTAGGACTATTACTAAAATATTTTAGAGACCCTGGTAAGACATGATATGGTGAAATAATACATTCTGTGTATATTTGGGCACTTTTGGTTTTTATTTTATTAAGCTGTTCTTTGTATCTCTCACTCTATCACAAGGTGAATTTTTATCAGGTAAAATTTTTAATGTTTAAGACAAATGGAAAATGTGTTCATTTTTCATGTACACATACTATGTAAAGACTTTTTAAAATGTAGAGCTATTAGCTTTGTTCAGTATCAAATAGACCTTAAACACTAGCACTGTGCTGTTTTTCCCTTTCTGTCTCTGAGGTATATTTGAAGTAATCAATGCATTAGTCAGTAGTTGTAACATCTTTTCAGAATGTACACAGTTTTTATTAAAATATTTGCAGTCTTGGCCCTGGCTGGTTTGGCTCAGCAGTTGGAGCGTTGGCCTGTAGACCAATGAGTTGTGGGTTTGATTCCGGTCAAGGGCACATACCTCGTTTGTGATTTGTCTCCACCCCGGCTAGGTTGTGCAGGAGGCGACCAGTCGATGTGTCTCTCTCATGTTAATACTTCTCTCTGCCCCGCCCCCCCCCCCCCCCCCCCGCACTATCACTTCCTTCCTCCCACTCGATCTGATGATAAATAGAAAAAAAATATCCTCGGGTGAGGATTAAAAAAAACATTTTTGTAGTCTGATACAAATATTAATGAAAATGTAATGTAATGTAAGAAATAGTAAGGCCCTGGTTGGTGTTGCACAGTGGTTAGAGCATTGGCCCCTGCATTGAAGGGTCACGTGTTTGATTCCTGGTAAAGGGCACGTACCTGGCCTCAGTTGGGGCATATGCGGGAGGCAACCAATTGATGTGTCACTCTCACATTGATGCCTACCCCCTACTGTCTAAAAATCAATGGGGAGCCCTGGCCAGTTCGGCTCAGCGGTTAGAGCATTGGCCTGTGTTCCGGAGAGACCCAGGTTCGGTTCCCGCTAAGGCCGCGTACCTCGGTTGCAGTTTGTCCCCAGCCCTGGTTGGGTTGTGCGGGTGGCAGCCACTCGATGTGTCCCTTTCACATTAATGTTTCTCTCTCTCTCTCTCTCTCTCTCTCTCTCTCTCTCTCTCTCTCTCTCTCTCTCCCCCCCACTCTATCTGAATAAAAAAATGGAAAAATGTCCTCGGGTGAGGATAAAAATAAATAAAATAAAATATACACTGAATTAATTTGAATTTCTCTTTCATTCATATTGTTATTTATTTGGTTTTCTGTTACCTTAAAGTTGTTTTTGCAATATTTTGATTTTCCTAATTGGACAAAGGCACTTTTGGGAGTATTTGTCAGAAAGCAGGTGAAAGCACTACTTTCTTAGTGTAGATCTTGCTGTCCAAATTGGGAGAAAATCCTACAATCTCTCTTTTTTAGAATTGTAGCACTTCATAGAAAGGAATGGCAAGGTAGCTGAAAGATCTTATCTAAGCAGAAATAGAAGTTAATGGGGTCAAAAAGTGTCAAACTTCCCCATTTTGGTTATTAAGACATCCTTACTGAAATAGTTCAATAAGTATTCAGCCCTGGCCAGTTTGGCTCAGTGGTTAGAGCATTGGCCTGCGGTCTGGAGAGACCCGGGTTTGGTTCCCGCTAGGGGCATGTACCTTGGTTGCAGTTTGTCCCTGGCCCTGATTGGGTTGTGTGGGTGGCAACCACTCGATGTGTCCCTTTCACATCGATGTCTCTCTCTCTCTCTCTCTCTCTCTCTCTCCGTCCCTCCCTCCCTCCCTTCCACTCTATCTGAACAAAATATCAAAAAATGTCCTTGGGTGAGGATAAAAAAAAATAAAAGTATTCATTGAAAACCTGTAATGTGCTTGACACATTTTGTTACTAAGCACTGAGATAACTATATATTCCACAGAATAATGAAAAAATGAATTCTCTTATGTGCAAAAGTCAGTGACTGTTATAGTCTAAACTTTAAAAATACTTGATTTCTTTTTATTTGCTTTTTGTTTTTTTTGTACCCCACTTCATATTTTAATGATTACTCTTAATGTAGACTGTGATATACTTTGCTTATATATGGTGGTAATTATTAACATTTATTAAGTACTTATAGGCTATACTCTGTTCTCAGTGTTTTACATAGACGGTCTCATTTAATACATGGATTCTCTCATTTTACATTGCTTATTTAATATTTACAAAAACTCTGAGGAAGATACTGTTATGTCTCTATTTTACAGATGACACTTAAGACATTAAGGACTTTGTCAAAGGACATTTAGCTATGATATAATTGAAAGATTCAAACTTAAGCATACATGTATATAATAAGTGTAAACTATCATTTGAATAGTGACAATTTATAGTGAGATATAATTTCAAAGTAATAAGGCCCCCCCCTTAAATAAACAAACCAGGACTTAACCATTAGAATGGGCAAAGCCCTTTAAAATACAGTCGTCCGTCGCCACTTCGCACTTCAACTTTCGCTGCTTCACTCTATCGCGGGTTTTCAAATATATTCATTAAAAAGTTGATCGAGACAGTGAAAATGATACAGTGCACACTTGGTTGTCTGAGTCAATTATACACCCCTGTTTTACAATTAAAATTACTGTACGTATGGACTATAGGCCTATGTATTTGAGCACCCCTGCAAATCCTTCAATGCCAGGTGCAACTGCTCCACCTCTCCTTGTGTGTGGGTAATAACTGTTTTCCAAAAAATTGGGTGTGGTGAAACCAAGCCAGTCAGAGCATGCTGTTCACTGTTTGGCTATCCTAGCCTCTTTCTATCCTGGCCACTGATTGGCTCAGCCTCATGCAGGTTTGTTTCTCTCATACATGCTTCTATATCGCTGTGCATCGGAAGCGTCTTTGCTCTTGTGTCTGCGATTTCTGAGAACTTTTATCTAAGCCCCACAATGGCTCCTAAATGTGCTGCTTCTTCTAAGCCTTCTGACAATGAAACTAAGCACCGGAGGAAGATGCTTACCATCCAGAAGAAGGTGAAATTTTTGGATATGATCGAAGATGGCAAGAAAATTGTGGAGGTTGCCTGCCATTACGACTTGAATGAGTCTGTCGTTCGCTCCATCCATAAAGATGGAAAGAACGTCTGTGCAACGGCTACTGTCTCTTTCAACAAGGAAGCAAAGTGCGTCATGACAAGTCGTAATAAGTTCATAGTGAAAACGGAGTCTGCCGTAGCTGTTTGGTTCAGTGACAGCTGCAAGAAAAACATTCTGTTGGATTCGCTGGTCATCTGGGAGAAAGCGAGGCAGTTCTATCAGCACTTTATGGCGGACAAACCTCAACCAGGACCCTCTTCTGCAATGTTCATGGATTACACAGTGAGCAAGGGTTGGTTCGAGAAGTTCCAGAAGAGGTATCATCTGAAGAGTGTCGTTCACAGAGAAGCTGCCTCTGCTGACCAGCCTGCAGCAGAGGACTATGTGAACAACATGTTCCAGAAGATTTTTGAGGAGGGCGAATATCATCAGAACAGGATCCCTTAACTGATGAGGATCTGGTGGAGATGACTAAATCTGCGAGTGAGGAACAGGAAGAGCAGCCAGAGGTTCCTGGGTGTCAGGAGGAAATAGGCCTTACACTTGATGTCTCTCGCAAGTCGTGAGAACTATTAAGGTAGTACAGGACAGGATTGGCGAATGGGACCCACAAATGATGCGTGCATTGTGGTTCTGGAATGCACTTGATGGAGCGATAGAACCTTACAAAAGCCTCCTCATGCATATGAAAAGACAGCACCAGCAACTGCCTATCACGATGTTCTTCACCTGTGCACCCAGACACCCACTGCCTACTCCTAGTATTCTTCATTGGAAGAAGACGACGATGCACCTGCTGAAGACTCTCCTACTGAGGATATGCCTTCAGAGGAGCAGTAACCCTGCTCTTTTTTGCTGTGCAGTACATGTCTTCATCTTCATCACTTCATCATCGAAGAAGTTGCACTATTTTCATAGGTTAGTGGTTGTGTGTAAGAACTGTGTGTGTGTGTGTGTGTGTGTAATTAAATGTACAATAATAATATATTTGTAATGTCTAATGTGTCTTATTTTCTCTTGTCTAATGTATTGGGTAATACAAGTGTAATGGTGACTAAAGGGTGTTATTTCATGTCTAGAGGACTCTAATAATGTTAAAAAATGTATTTAGAAGGTCATAAACAGATTTTCTATGCTCTAACTGCGAAAATACTCGATTTATAAATAAAGAATCCTACTTCGCAGAAATTCATTTATCGCAATAGAGTCTAGAATGGATTAACCGTGATAAATGAGGGCCAACTGTAGTCCCCATGAAAGTTTAACATTATTCCAACAATTCCATGTTGAGTGAAAAACATTGTTACTCTTTTTGTGATATTGCTTCCACTTCATAAAGCACACAGGAAAATAGGTTTATTGACTTTATGCTCTCATCTGTTTTCCAGAATGGTATTCAGTAAATTTATCTGTGAATAACTTGGATATTTAAAACACAAACAAACTATATCCTTTAAGTGTTGCCAAGGACTTTTCATCAGAAAAATGTGCCATGAAGTACACAGACAAGACTAAAAGAAGTGTTTTTGTTTGTTGGTTTGTTTTTAAATGCTTTGAGTATTTGGGATAAATATCCCTGGAGCAAATGTAACAGACTCACAGAGTATATTCTTGGAAAGGGTCTGAATTCTTTCTGAAGCATTTCTGAGACATTGTCTTCTCTGTACAATCCTTGGTACATCATTCGCTCAGAGCAATTTATGTGTTACTTGCAGCTTTTGTTTACTTGACCATCTCCCTATTGGCCTGTGA